TGCTGTGGGGGAGGGGAAATACAGGCTGGCTTTGGGGATCATCATGTGGACCCTCCTATATATAAAACTCTGCCTTCATGAGGAGCAAGAATCCTACAGTAGACACTCATCTCGGTAGCACCTTAAGATTCAGCTCTTACTTCAACAGCTTGAATTAGCTCAGTGTTTAAAATCCTATTTTATTTTATTTTTAGCTTTCTCGTCTGTGTGTGCATGACGAGCATACTGTGGCATCAAGAAAGTTAAATGATTTGACAAAAAATAATCACTTTCCTTCTGTGATCGTTCAGTTTGGAGTCTCACATGAGACTGAAATTTCAGTACTTTTCCATTCACTAGAATATTCATTGATCTGCTCATGCAACCAGCACGAATTTTATCTAACTCCTGAGACAGAGGAAACAATAGCTAAGGAAATGATTAACATCTAAAACAGCTGTTTTGTTTCTGTTAAACGTTCCAGTAGTTTCTGCCAAAATGAAAGTTTCATTCAGCGTGGTTTAATCTGAGAAGGTTCCCAGAGTGGTTTAATCTGCCTTCCGAGGGAACTCTGAGCTGTAATTCCAGACCCTCCAAGTGTCCCTATTTTCCAGGGACAGTCCCAGATTTACAGAAGCCGTTCCAGTTTCTAATTTGATCCCAGAATGTCTTGCTTTCCCTTAGGACATCCCTAATTTCACTGGAGAAATGTTGCGAGGGTATAGAGTTATCCTACTCCCAAGCCATCTGAAGATAGCCCTGTATAGGGAAGTTTGTTTAACGTTTAATGTTTTATATATGTTGGAAGCTACCCAACTGGAGCAACTCTGACTGCACAGTGTAAATAGTAAAATTATTATTATGGAATAGGATGTCCCTATTTTTATCAGAGAAATGGGCCTGTAATTCTAGATCTGTAAAGGGAATATGGGTCCTCTAACAACTCTCAGCACCCTTAGCAAACTCCAGTTCCCAGGATCCCTTGGTGGAAGCCTTGACTATTTAAAGTGGCATGATACTGCTTTAAATGAAAGGAAGTTCTGTAAAAAGACCTGTCCTTCTCCAGAAATGTACATTGTAAGCCATGCCTACTGGGGCTGTTGGGAGGTGGAGCAAAACAACATCTGGAGGGCATAAAATTGCACAGAGCCACAGCTCTCTGTAAATGCAGTCAAGTTGCTCTAACAGAAATACTCACTAGCTTGTCAGAAGCCTCTTCTATCTTCCTTTCTTCAAGTCTGTGGGCAGTGAGACAGAATAATCAAAGTAGCTGCACCTGTGCCTCATTCCAGGTGCAACTGCCATTAGTAAATAGATCCTAACAGTGACACTTAGAGAAATTTCAGATTGAGTGAGAATCGTTTCTGTGCTAAAGCTCTACTTCCCTATCAGTCAAAATTATCACTTCCATTTCTGGTCACTTGAGGAAGTGCCTCCTCATCGTTTATGACAAAATACACAGGTGGCTGCTGGCACGTACCAAACCCACAGACTGGACCTTGTCTGAAACGTAACAGAATGTGAATTCCAAAGACAGCACTTCAAAGCTGGGGAAAACCCAGCACCTCTGCTTTATAAACCATTTGCAGCAGTTACCTTATTTCACTCTCTTTGCAAAGCTGCACTAGAAGTTTGGATTGTTCTGTCCCTTGCAAAAAAATCACCACTGAATTCAGTGGGACTGAGCATGCATAGAACTGCAAATGTGTGTTTCTTAACAGGCTCAGCATCTGGCACCTGTGAGAAGCTGCTTTGGCTCCTGCACCCAGGCAGGACCCATCAGTGCTGATGCCTGCCCTGGGTCGGACCCCCTCAACAGGATATGGGCATGCCATTTTAAATTTTCCATTATGCTCCAGGGCACCTGACATAGCACTGTTCTATTGTGGAAGATTTTAAATAGGAACAGGTAGCTGCCACTACAGCCAGGTAAGTCTTGGCCAGGTGGGTCCACTGGTGTAGGAAAGAGCACTTAGGACACTTTACTGAGGGTTTCTTCAATCTTGGAGCCAACTCTGTTTTTTAAAACCCGAAATTGGCAGGACTGCTTTGCAGTAGTCCCTGATCTTAAAGACAGCTAGAAAGCAAGGATCAGAGGTTATCTGAATACATCAAAATGGAACAAAGATCAATGACTTTTCTTGTAGGCAGTTGATCTTTATGATTTGAATGCAGCCACGTGGTCAATGAAAACCCCCCACAGCTCATGCCAATTGAAATGTAAATGGAACAGAAGCTAAAACTGTCTTATCTTCTAACAATTTCTGTTAGTCTTTAAACACTTGTAGGTTCCTTTACATGTATCAGTGGTGTAATGAGTCTTGTAATGTATTTAATAGAGGCTGTCATCAAATTCATTGCCTGTTAGACAAACACTTGAGACAAGAGATAAAAGCATTAGGAAATAATTTGGCCCTGCCTTAAAAATAATGTACTGAAAAAGAGAGGCATGCAAAACATTCATGGTTTCAACTTGTTTTCATGAATATGATTATATCACTTCACATTTTTATCTCACCATGTTTTCTAGAATATATATTGATTATCAAAGATTCAGTAACACTTCATAAGTAATCTGTGTGTTCCAGGTTCCATCTGGAATTTCCTTGAATTAAGACCACTGAACATCTGTAATGTAGAAATATTTTTTTCCCCTGGTAGCTGTGTTCACTTCAGAATAGGGGCCATATAGCATTATTTGCTATTTCAAAAGTGTGTGCATGAAGCTATTTCTATGAGCTACACACCACCTGCTCTTCACATACCTAAGCCAAGAATGTAGATACTTGGAAAACTGAAGTGTTTGACAAGTTTCAATTTCTGTGAGATGAAACCACACTTAACTTCCCAGATTCCTGCGCTCAGAATTCTTTTTTTTAAGCTTTAAAGTATACCACACCCGACAACAAGCTTTGAAGTACACCACTTACAAATATTTGAAATACGACTCACCACATATTAAAAACACTAAGGGTGCAAATTTTTGCTACATATTTGTGCAAAAGATGCACACATGGCCTGCCACTTAAATTTCTACAACCTCAGTAATCAACTAATTTTTACTCAGAGTAGACCCATAGAAATAAAAGAACATGACTAACTTAGGATCATTGATTTCAGTGGGTCTACTCTTAGAAAATTGTTGCCTACAACCCAGAGTAACACAGAGCAACATTAGCTATTGCACATGGTGATTGCTATGGGGAACAGGTGTTACCTGCCAGTGTTTTCCACAGCAAATGTACAAAATAGTGAAGTAATTAATGCATGTGCACTCACCTTTAAACATTTGTGTCTCCACACCTGTAAATCCTGATTCTCATCTGGGAACCCAAACGGAGAGGGAAAAGTTCCACTGCGCAAGTGTAAATCCTTGCATAAATGGAAAAAGACCATTGCCACCTATTGGTTTTGTCTTACAGAAGAGCAGTATCCGATAAAGGAACCATGACATGAGCTGCTTCATTTGCTTTAATCCACCTTCACAAAGGGGTGCACACATAGATCAACTTTCTTCACTTAAATGGGGACTATCCTTGCATATGAGAGATCTATGCAAGGATATATGAATGCAAACATTATTCATCTGCATTGCTTCCAAAGGGTGTGCATATCTATAGAGGGGAACAACTGCACAGTTGCTTTCAACAGCAAAGAGTTTTCTCTTCCCACTCCCATTGACAGATAAGGAAACAACAGCTGCAAAACAGGCACATGCAGAAAGTCCACAAAAAGTGGAGCGAATGGGTATATTAGAGCTTCTCTACCCATAGGAATTTGCCAGCTCAGTCTAACTAACAAGTTAAAAAGAAAATGTTCTATTACCCAGTAAATATGAATTTTAAAATATATATCATGGGGATAACTCAGTCCTTCCCCTATACAAGGCAATGAAGCTCTTCACACATTTGTATACTTCTAGTGCAGCTTTGCAAAGAGAGTGAAATAAGGTAATTCTGAAGTTGTGAAAGTGAAACAGAGAGCAAGCTGTGATCTTTGTAACCCTGACTAGTAACTGCTGCAAATGGTTTATAAAGCAGAGGTGCTGGGTTTTCCCCAGCTTTGAAGTGCTGTCTTTGGAATTCACATTCTGTTACGTTTCAGTTATTTGTTCAATTCAATGAAAACAACAAAAACTGGTTAAGGACAAAATTAATTGCCACCAAATATGTTCATATGCTTAGGAGGCAATCCTAACCCTGGCTCCTGCTGCTCCATGGTGGTGAATGGCTACAACGGCATCCTCAGCCCTGCCACAAATGGGGCAGAAACTGTGGGGTGTGCAGGTGTTCATTTTTACGTTATAAATGCAAAGCACAAAATTGAGGATACAATGCCAAGTTAGGGTATACATACATATGAAAGTTCTATTTGCCAGACCTTCAGAATAGAGCCTCGGCTCCCTTTCTGAATTATGGCTGGATCCATAGCAACCCTTTAGAAAGAATCTGCAATTGCGCATTAGATCTGTGAGAGTAGGAATAAGTGTGGGTTGAGTGTTATGGCACAGTCTTCTAACTGTAGGGAAGAAAAAGTAAATTACAGGAAATTGAAAGTATCACTGCAAAATTGGGGGGGGGGAGGTCTGCTTTTAACATACTTGGCCATAGTATCATTTCCTTGCTGTATGGCTTTCCATTGTTGCAGGGCTGTTGTGTACTCACTTTTCCATCAATCCTAAAAATATAAGCATTACTCTAAACTTTAGTCCTTTCACACTCATAACTTAATTTCCACCATAATCAAATTTAATTGCTGAAGTTTGTTTTCCCAAAGCTTAGCAAATTCTCAACATTCATGTAGCTTATAATATTTTTGCAAATAGTCTTTAAATTTTTTCCAGTCCTCTTCCACTACCTCTTCTCCCAGGTCCCGGATTCTGCCAGTCATTTCGGCCAATTCCATATAGTCCATCAGCTGCGTATGCCACTCTTCCAGCGTAGGTAACTCCTGTGCCTTCCAATATTTTGCTATAAGGATTCTTGCTGCTGTAGTTGCGTATAAAAAAAAGGTTCTATCCTTCTTTAACACTCTCTGGCCCACAATGCCCAGGAGGAAGGCCTCTGGTTTCGCAATGCAAAGTTTCAAGTCAAGTCAAACCAGTTACCACCAGTCCTCATCATCAGATATGACACAGTGGGGTGGGAAGAGCTTATGGTCTAAAATGGAAGAGAAAAGGAGGTAGAGGTAGGGAGTCAAGGGGACAATAGGTGGTCATTTCAATTAGACATATGTTGGCTTTAGTTGCAATAAGGAAGAGTGGCTAAGGAACACGAGGGACCAGGAATTCCACAGGGAAACAGGGGGAGAGAATACAAGTAATAGGAATGTAAACAAGAGAGAGTGGGCAAGGGAATGCCATCATTTTTGGAAAAGCTGTCTCAGGCAGAATCAGGAGTTCAAGCAATCAGGATCCACAGATGCTCTATAGGCCCCTCTGGCAATTTCTGGAGTTCTCAAGGTGTGATGGGAGAAGCAAGGACAGAGTAGGCACTGGGATAAAGGTGTCATGCAGTCCTATACCACCTGGGCAGGCACACAGTCATCTACACAATGGTTTCTTTATTTGTTTGTTGGTTGGTTTATTAAATTTGTTAGTCATTTTATATTGCCCAGGGCAAACCAAAGTGACTTAAAGCCACCCAAGCAGACAGACAAAAACACCACATAGATACATTAAAACCAAGAAGGGGGTAGAAATGCACTTGGAGGCTCGAGGTATTGGGAAGGGAGGAAAATAATTACACACTGAAAGGGATATTTAGAATTAGTACTGTGCTGAATTCCCATGAGGTTTAATTTTTAATTGCAAAATCTTCCAATGGGGAAACAACTCTCTTCTTCATGCCTGTTTGAAGCCACCATTCCTCCAACCTGCTGCCGCTTGGTGAAGGGAGGTAGACATAAAATGGTCCCCATTGCCAAGGCAACAGGGCCAATGTTCCTTCTCATTAGGATACAAAACAGTGCAATGCAATGGGACAACAACCACATTTGGGTTAATAAAATGTGGAAGTAGGATTATTGGAAGGAAGCATGAAGCATTTACATTTGGAAAAAAAGGCATCTAAGGTTTCTGTATGGTTTACAAACCAATCCTTCTTTCAGGAGTTCGCCTGTATAATAGTTAGTATTTGGTGCTCTGACCATGTCCCAGGAACTTCAGCTTACTGAAATGAAACTGACTTTTAACAAAGGTGACTCAGAAATGTCTAGGTGCAGGCTTTATTTATTTAGTCACAGTGCTAAACTGGGAAATGTGAAGACTAGGAGTGCTCATTTCAGTGGAGATTTTCCCACTGGCTAGTCGCAATAGGCAGTTAATGACCATATCCTTGGCTTGGGTGGTCTTCATGTTCCTTTCTTGTGAAAGCTTCATGCTGATTTGATCTACATTGGTCATTATGAATTCTGATGCCAAGATCTGAGTAGGGGATGCACTGTTACCCATGCCATCCATGATATACTGCTTGTACAGCTCCATCACCTTCTCCTCCAAGTAGTTATTCAGTAGTGAATTTGAGAGGGGTTGCTGGTGTTGCATGATGCTGGCCACTCTCCAGCATGAAGAATACCTATTGGTTGGCTTGCGAGGGACCTCAGCAGGTGGCATTGATATGGATTCCATTGGTGGTGGGATCTCTGATGACTCCAGGAATGGACCTATCCCGCTGTCATAGGTAAAATCTGTTTTAACTGAACTCATAGGCAGTACCTGGTCACCAGCAATATGCAGGTCATTGTAATTCTTGCAAATGCTTTTACAAGAAGGTGGAACTAGGTAAGTGTCTCTGTTGATAGCAGGTCCTGTACAGATTTCCACAGCTGGAGATATTTGCCTTTCCAATACTGGATTTGGAGTCTGTGTATCCATCTGCCTTCTACTGTTTCTGTTTTCATTGGAACAAACAGAGAAGATGAACTTGCCAACAGACTTACATCTCCAAAAGAGATTTCTGTCCTGTGTTTCCTCTGTTGATTCATAGGTGATGCCATTCAAAGGCCTCATCTCGTGTACTGTCTCTTCTCCTTGGTTGCAAGCGAGCTTGTAATTCATGAGATCATGATAAGGAATTATACAGAGGTACCCTTCTGACAACATCCTCTAGAACTGGAAAAGAGAAAGAGCTAGCATGAAGCACAATGTAGCAAGTAAGGGAATGGTATAACAGGAGCAAACAGCAAGTGACATAAGTGTGTAAAGTATAACTGAAACCATCACCAGCTACTAGGGAGATAAGAAACATCTGTCAGATTGCGATAAATTCTAGGTCATTAAATGCACGCTAATTCCAGAGTGGGATGGGGTTTGTGAAGCTTTGCCTGCATTCACACTGCAGCTGATTCTGATTTCCTGACAAGGAAGTTATTTTGCACATTAAATTTGAGCTTTCACAATATGTAAAAGCCAGTTTTTGAAAACTAATGGAATGTAATGGTGCACAAGTTTAGTGCTCATTTGATTCGGGGGGGAGCATTTGCAGCCCCCTTAAAAAGGAAAATCATGGAAGTTTAGCATGGCAAAGCATGTGCTCTATCACTGAACTACAGCCCTTGCCCTGAAAGGTTCTATGGATCTAGAAAAAAGGAAAGTAGAAAAAGCCGAGGAAAGTAATGTCAGAGGCAAGTAGGCTGCATATTATCTGAGATGACCTACCCACATACTTACTTTTCTTTCACATTCTAATCACAGCTTATGTTAACATACAAATGGCAAGAAACAAGAAGTGTCTCAAAGTTTGACATCAGAGAATACATAATGGATTGTTTGTTCTCTTTCATCCTACAGAGGTTTACAGGGCTTAGGAAACAGTTGAACATTATGCTTCAAGTATAAACTGGAAGGCTGTTAGTTAAGAGAGAAAATGGCAGTGATTTCAGGGAAACAGAACAGAGGTTATTTATTCTATTTAAGAAAGGCACAGAACCAAACAGCAATGGGGTTTTTTTGGTGGCGGGGGCGAGGTAGAGGAGAATTACGAAATGTTCCTGGCAACTTTCTGAATAACAGCAGAGAAGTTCTGCTCTTTTTATTTTGGGGTTTCAGGTTCTTAAACTATTTCTTTATAACACCCCCCTTTTTTTTTACAGTTAGAGGGATGTTGCCCAGCTATTCACACCCATTGCCTACAGCTACTCTTCCTAGAGATAATGGATCTCTGCATAGGAAGAGTGTGCAGCGGAAAGGACACTCAAAATCATTGTCTGCACAGCTTGTGTGGCGCTGACTAGAAATGCAATAGTATTGTCCACCTACTATTACTCTGCTTTAGGCACTATAGGAAAATCTTGGAGAACATAAATCTTGGTGCATGTCTTACTGCACAGTCAGAGTTAGTCAGCTATTGCTGTGTATGTGACCTATTACATCTATATGAAATTAAGGGTGGATTTGGTCAATTACAGTATCTATGAAGGCAGCGTATTATAGTTCCTTGATCTTTCCTTCTCTTAGTATATGGTTTAAGTTCAATTTCAGTTATATTTTTGACACAAAAATATCTGTCATTTTTGTAAATGCATGCTACAAAATTAAATCCACTCAACAATAACAAATTACCCCCTCCCTGCTCAATTAGGACAAGACAGCTTCAACCATGAAGCGCATTGCCCCATAACCAACCAAGTGTATGCGGTGGGTCCAAGATGACATTGTTTTCATTTTAGGAGGTTATAAATAGATGCTATACTTCAGTAAAGTAATCAGCATTCTGAGAACCATTGAAAGCCTTAGCCCATTGAGTAAGTTTCACTCAATAAGATAAGACGCATTTAATTTCCACCCAAGTTCTTCAGTTAAACTGGTTTCATTTGCAGTTTAGACTGTAGGTCTAAATCCTTACAATTCTAGATTGCACCTCACTGAAATGATACAGGCAGCATCATAAAGCATGTACATCGGAGACACACAGCAGATAACCCAATGCACACACAAGTAAAAATAATCTGTATATGGTATACTGTAGTCTAGTTCTCACTTACCTTGAAGAACTAAGCTTCTCCTTAAGACAAGGACTGTGCAGCAGCTTGCAATGTTGTGCAGAAATGTTGCACAGGCATTTGGTTGCCTTAAAAGCTTCTTATGTAACACTTCTTTTCCGTTACTGTAGCTCATGGGTAAGAGTTTCATTTACAGCCTTGTAGGTGGCAAGTGGTTTCCACACATACCGCCCCCCGGGTCTCAAGTCACAATAGGTTCTTAAACGGAAGTCTCTGTGCAGGGTATAGGAGGAGCTTTATAAATAACCTTCTGCTGTCAAACAACTTTTAATTTTTTCTTCCTCTTTTTGTTCCCACACAAAGCCTTTTTGTGAAACTGTCTGTTGTTAAAATAGTTTGTTGCTGCCTAATCTGTGTTCACCTATCAGCCAATATTTCCAGACTCCTGTCACTGAGAACTAGAAACATTTTTAATTACAGGCTGTTCATCATAAAGTAAAGCCTGTTGGGTAGCATTGCATGCAGACATAAAGAAATATTTTAATATATAATTTATATTCATTTCATAAAATGTATGCACCACTTGAGTATACATTTAAGAACCCTCAAAGTGGTTTACACACACACACACACACACATATATATATATATATATATGCAGGTTTTTGGTGTCCTCGGGTGTCTTCCCGTGTAAAAGTTGGGGTGTCTAGGCGACGTTTCGACGAGGTCTCACTCGTCATCTTCAGGCTGGTGCTTTCGGCTTCTTGTTACTGGAACAGAGCAGGATCTCAGTGTTTGAGTTCCTATAAATACTGTTGAGGGGGTGTGGTGTATAGCCTCCAATGTTCTGGGCAGAGAGGAAGTTCCCAGGCTAGTGTGCCTTTTCTTCTTTTGTTCCTTAATTACTTGAGGGATATCTTGAGTGATTTCTTGAGTGATATTCTGAGTACCACTTAGGTGGGTCATTAGGTGTGGATTAGTTGCTAAAGCCTTCGTGTCTTGACCTCTTGAACTTTGTGAAGAGTTTTTCTGAGAAGATGGCTGTACTGCACTTAGTTGTGCTCTGGCTTGGCTTCGTGTATAGGGGCGAGCTGTGGTTTTGTGTCCTGTGCCAGCCAGATCTGTGTAGGGATTGCAGGGGGGTGCAGCATCCGGAGGTGCCACCATGGTTTGGCTACTGGATGGTGTCTGTAATTTATCTGTGGAGAGGGTCTGGGTTTGGGTCTGGTGTGGTTGATTGGTGATGGCGTTCTGTGTGCCTCTGGATCTGGTGTCGGTTTTTGTGGGGAGGGCTAATTTCCAGATGTCTGGCAGGCGGGATGTGTCGTCACGCTTGTTCATGTTGTGAGGGTGTTTCTCTATCTCGATGGCTTCCATGATTATTCTCTTGTGGTGATGTTCCATGTTAAAGAGCAATTTGGAATCTGCAAAATTAATTTCGTGTCCTGTTTCTTTCATGTGTTGGAAAAGAGAGGAAGTTTTTTCTTCTTTTTTGACGGCATTCTTGTGTTCTGCGATACGTGCATTTATTCGTCTGTTTGTTTGTCCAATGTACGTGGCTGGGCAGACTTTGCAGGGTATTTCATAGACCCCTTGGTTTTCCAACTGGATTTTATCCTTGGGGTTTCTGAGGATATTGGCTATTTTTTGGTTGGTGCAAAAGGCTGTTTTGATATTGTGTTTATGGAGGATTTTGCTAATTTTATCTGTAGTGCCCTTGATATAAGGAAGGAGGGCCATGCCATTGTTTTCTTCTGTGTCTTGGTTTTTGGGGGGTGTTTCTTTTTGGATTAGCTTCGTAACCCTGTTTTGCTGGTATCCATTGGCGATTAACACATTTGAGAGATTCTGTAACTCAGTTGTCAAGTGGTCTTTGTCAGCCAGGCGTTTGGTTCTGGAGATGAGAGTCTTGGCTACGGAGTTTATTTGTGCAGGGTGGTGGTGTGATTGTGCATGTAAGTAGCGGTTGGTGTGTGTTTTTTTCCGGTAGATAGTGTGTCCTAGGGAGCCATCAGGTTTTTTGTAGATTAGGACGTCAAGGAAGGGAAGTTGGTTGTTGGCTTCTATTTCCATAGTGAATTGTATTTTGGGGTGTAGGCTGTTGAGATGTGTGAGGAAGCTATCTAGTTTTTCCTTCCCGTGTGGCCAAATTACAAAGGTGTCGTCAACATATCTGAGCCACAGTTTGGGTTTGTGTTCTGACTTGTCTAAAGCATTGGTTTCAAAGTGTTCCATGTACAGGTTTGCGATGACCGGTGAGAGGGGTGATCCCATAGGTGCTCCTTCTATCTGTTTGTATCTTTGTCCATTGTGGATGAAGTACGTGTTGGTTAGGCAGTGGTTGGTCAGGTCCAGGATGTATTCGGGGGGATTGTATTTGTTTTGAATGGCTGTCAAGGCTTCATTAATGGGCACTTGTGTGAAGAGAGATACAACATCGAAGCTCACAAGTAGGTCATTGGGATGTAGGTTTTGCTTCTTTATTATTTCTATGAACTGGAAGGAGTTTGTAACGTGTGAAGAGATGGATTCTGCATAGGGCTGAAGTTGCTTAGCGAGAAATTTAGCGAGATTTTGTAGAGGTGAGCCTATGGAGCTGACTATTGGTCTGAGTGGTGTTCCTTCTTTGTGTATCTTGGGGAGGCCGTAGAGTTTGGGGCATCTGGATGATTTTTCTCTGGGGATGATTCTTAGCTGGATTTCTTCACTGATAGGAGAGGCTTTTATTTTGGATTTGGTGGTTTTTTCCAGATAGGTGGTGGGATCTGTTTTTATAGGTTGGTAGGTGGGGTCTTGGAGTAGATTTGATAGTTTTGCTTGGTAGTCCGATGTGTTCATCACAACAGTGGCATTACCTTTGTCTGCTGGGAGAATGATTATGTTGTTGTCTTTCCTCAGGTTGGTGAGTGCTTTCTGTTCTTCTTTGTGTAAATTGCTTCTGGGTGGTTTGCTGGAGCAGAGGATGTTGGTGACTTCAAGTCTGATTTTATTGGCTTCATCTGGGTTGATTTTGGTTAGGCTAGCTTCGACTCCGCATATGATGTTTTCCGTGGGGATGCGTCTCGGGGCGACTGCAAAGTTGAAACCTTTGGAGAGTACTTTGGTTTCAGTTGAGGTGAGGATCCTGTCTGATATGTTATGTACTGTTTGTTTCATGGGTTGTTG